GATTATTAACCCCGAAGGGTTAGTAAGCCAGGATTATTAATCCTGGAGGGTTAGTAAGCCAGGATTATTAACCCTGGAGAGTTAGTAAGCCAAGATTATTAATCCTGGAAGGTCAGTAAGCCAGGACTATTGACCCTGAAGGGTTAGTAAGCCAGGACTATTAACCCTGGAGGGTTAGTAAGCCAGGATTATTAACCTGGAGGGTTAGTAAGCAAGGATTATTAACCCGGAGGGTTAGTAAGCCAGGATAACCCAAGATTATTAACCCCTGCAGGCTAGTAACCCAAGACAACTAACCCTGAAAGTTAGTAAGCCAGGATGACCCAAGATTATCAACCCTGGAGGATTAATAAGCCAAGATAACCCAAGAAATTAACCTCAGAAGGTTAGTAATCCAGGCTAACGGAGGATAACTCAAAGTTATTAATCCAAGTGTGTTAGTAACCCAGGATAACCTAGGAAAGCCAGTGTAACTTGTCTTCTGTGGTCCTTAGGTGTTCTTCTCCAGGTTGCCATCCACACCGAATGACTAACACCCAGGTACCTACTTACTGCTAGGTGAACAGAAACAGCAGGTATAAGATGACTAACAACCAGGAACCTATTTACTGCTAGGTGACCAGGGACAGCAGGTGTAAGATGACTAACGCTCAAATACCTACTTACTGCTAGGTGAACAGGGACAGCAGGTGTAAGGTGACTAACACCCAGGTACCTGCTTGTTGCTAGGTGAACAGTGACAGAAGGTGAAAGGTGACTAACACTCAGGTACCTACTTACTGCTAGGTGAACAGGGACAGCAGGTGTAAGATGACTAACACCCAAGTACCTACTTACTGTTAGGTGAACAGGGATAGATGTAAGGTAACATGCCCAGCGTCTACACCATTCCCAGGATCGAACCTGGGACCTCCGGTTGTGTTGAAGGTTCAAATTGCAATTGAACCCAAGTAAAAATTTACTTCGATTAAAAAACGTTTTTTTCAAAATTTGCTAGGGACCCATCTTCAGTACCAAAATTAAAGAAAAAAAAACGGAAAAAATCCATGGAGTTTAGCCGAAGATTGTGATAGAATGTGTGGGGGGATGTGAAGTTTGATCCAAGGATAATGAGAGCAGATCAGATGACCTGGATGAAGAGTTGGAACTTAATTCTTATAGTCCTATCATCTAGGAAGTTACAGAGGGAGGTCGAAGTTGGAACATAGCTTAAACCTTAAGCCGTTGTGCCACACTGTGTCAAAGGCTTTCTCAACATCTTTGGCTACTAGGGCTGTCTTTTTCCCTTGGTATTTGTTTATGTGGATGTAGTTTAGAATTAAGTTGAGTGCATCTTGAGTGGAACGGTTTGATCTGAAGCCAAATTGGCCATTATATAAGAGAGAGTTTGTTTCAAGATGTCTACGTAGTCGTGAGTTTATGATTTTTTCATAGATCTTTCCCAGTACTTCGAGCAAGCTGATGGGGCGGTAGTTTTTTGGGGTCAGGGGTGGTCTTTGTTGGGTTTTGGGATGGGGGATGCAAGTGGCTGCTTTGAAGAGAGTGGGGAAGTAGCCGGATGCAAGTGATGCATTGAGGAGGTTGGTGAAGGCTGAGATGATTGAGTCTGGGAGATGTTCTAGGATGATGTGGTTGATGCCGGAGGCTCCTGGGGCTTTTTGGGGAAGGCGGGTGAATGAGAGTTTTTAAAGTCATTGGCTGTGATGGGGTGTCCAGTTCCTGAGTGGCAGTGAGTCAAGTTGTATGTACCTGTCAGGTGCCGTTAGGGTTACGGTTCAGTGTCCATTGGTCTATTTGTTGTATATGTGGAGAGTGTTCTGATAGTGGAGGGTGTGGGTGGAAAATATTCTTCCATATATTCCTGAAGATGTTTGTTGCTGTTTGTGGGGGCGGTGATGTTTCTGTTGTCGTGGGTGATGTTGTTCGAATTTGTTGTTGTTGTTGTTACCTCGGATTCTATTAATGAAGTTCCAGAAAGTTTTGGGGTCTTTCATGCGTTGCTCATTTGCCTGGTGTATAAGCCCTGCCCCATGGGTGTTGTGGTCCTGCTCTAGGCTATGAAGTATGTTGTTCCTGAGGTATGTGAGGTCCTGTCTTACCTGGTTGAATCTGTGTGTGTTGAGGCGGAAGCGGTTCGAGTTCGAGTTCTAATGACCAGAGCTTTTTGGTAAGATGGGGAAGGAAGAAGGATGGGTAAGGATGGAAATATTGGAAAAGGGTTGGAAGGGGGGAGAGGTAGGATATAAAAGGTAAGTGGCCCAAAAACTTAGGTGTAATTTAAAAAGTGTATTTGAATTGATAAGATATTCTTTAAGGGGTATAATACTAACCCATCAGAGTCACATAAATATAATAGGTATATAAGTACATGACTCTGAATTTGGGTTGTAGTTATAAAGTTGCAATTGCTTTTTTTTTTTTTTTTTTTTTTTTTTTTTTTTTTT